GTGTGTGTTTCTAGCCTTGCCATCTGACAGACTGGGAGATGCAGGTGCACTTTAAGATTCATGGACAAGGAAAGAAGAACCTGAATGGTGACGGGCTGGCCATTTGGTACACTAAGGAACGTATGCAGAAAGGTAATCGTCATACAATATATTATTTACATAACTTTACTTATCTCTATTTTTTAATATATTATCAACACTATTCTTTTCCAGGTCCTGTTTTTGGAAATATGGACAACTTCACTGGCTTGGGTGTGTTCGTGGACACGTATCCCAATGAGGAGAAACACCTGGAGGTATGCTGGTGCAGTCACTGCCCAGATCCAACCTGTTTTTGGAAAGAAAAGCAGCTTAAAAAAAATGATAGACGAGTGCTCTTGCAAATTTGTGTTTCATGGCTGTCTTTGTGTTCTTTTGTGCAACCTTTTGGAGTCAGGCGCAGAAGAAAAGATATACTCCTCGCACTCAGGTAATCTGGGTTCTTTAATATTTGATCACAATCCTATCACCATTTAGCAGCCTCCATTAGTGCTTCTCTGTCTGCAAACATAACCTCATTGTTGATTGATCCCTGCATGGTTGCCATGTTGTCTAACCGGAGTTAGATGAATAAAAAAAGCATGCAACTAAATGTGACATTCATTGTAACACCCACTACAAGTTTGTTAATAAGGGCTTTTTCAATTCAACCTAATGAACAGCAGCTTTTTTTAACACCAAACTAACATGGTCTAATTGCAACGGCTTACTTTTTTATTGAGATAAGTACTTTATTGATCCCAATTTGCGAAATTAGCATTAAAAAAAAAAGTAGAAAAATATACATGTTGAATTACAAATGAACAGTAACAAAATATAAAGCAGGATATCATACATGTGAGGAATGGAATATTACATGTGTGTGTGGTGTAAGATGAGGGACTGATTTAAATGATGACTATATCCTCATCGCTCCGTTTCCTTTCTGTGACCACAAGAGGATCTTCCCCTTCGTTCTGGCCATGGTTGGGAACGGCAGCATTAGCTACGACCACGAGCGTGACGGCCGGCCCACAGAGCTGGGGGGATGCAACGCCATGGTGCGCAACCTCAAACAGGACACCTTCCTCTTCATCCGATACGTCCGCCGCAGACTCACAGTAAGAGACTCTGATCCACGATATTACATTTGCCTAGCGCACGACGACACTTCCTCGTGTGTAAACAGTCACACCTCTTATTAGCATGGTTGGCTGAGTTTGGCCTGGTCATATTTATTCAAGCTTTGTTTATAAAGTGTATGTTGATTGAGCATGCATGCTTTTATACAGCCACGCCTAGTTTAAGGTTTAACTGAAAAATATAATAATTTAACAGGAACTGACACAAACAGAACAGATTAATAAAGAGTCGTTAATGTAAGTACAGGCAGGAAAGGCCCCGGGAAATTGTTGAGAATAGTCTGGAAATACGCTGTGATTTTTCAGCCAGGCCTTTGCAGACAGATTATACATGTCTTTGTCAGTCATAAAAAAACCTCTGATGTAATACTTTTGAGTAAACTAAGGGCTAAACTAAGAGTCTAGGCAGAAGCATATCACACATATCACTTTAAGAATGCAAAGTTAGGTAACTTTGAAATATAAATGATTTTGTCATTGATACTTATAGATATTTATTTAGGATATTATTGATCACAAGCAACAAGATAAAACGATATTGGTATACGACTGAATCCTCCTTCAGAATAATGGAAAGAAACTACAATTATTATGATATTATCTTTGTTTTTACTTTGTCATTCAGATAGCACATTAAACCTATTTGGCAAAAGAACTGAGACGTGTCAGGCATTAATATCCAGTGAGTCTCTATACGTTACTGAATTGCATCTGTTGTTCAGGTGATGATAGACATCGATGGGCAACATGAGTGGAGGGACTGCTTGGACATACCCGGGGTCCGGCTTCCCAAAGGATATTATTTTGGAGCATCATCCGTCACTGGAGACCTCTCAGGTAAACGATCACCATGCCGAAAAGCTCCCTAATAAAAGTGTTTTCTCACCATCCAATTAAAGATGTATTGGACCATGATAAACAGACAGACAATACTGTTATTATATATAATAATGTGGAGGCCCATCTTTGGCGAAATCATGAAAATGATCACAAGTGAAAACCTTTTTTATCTCACTATCATGGTAGAGAAGTGGAACAAGCCTGATTTACGAGTGTGTATCCGTTCCCCAAGTCATCTTGTTCCCAGTTTTAAAGTACTTATTTTTCTCTCCTAGTTTTAATTCTGTCTATTTGATCTTATTATCATTTTATTTTTGAACGTTTGCAGTGTGAACCATTTGCTGTTTACTTCTTCTTAATATGTTTTCTAATAACAATCATATTTTCTGCTGCTCTTTCGTAGATAACCATGATATCATTTCCCTGAAACTCTACCAACTGACGGTGTTTCGGAGTCAACAGGAAGAGGAAGAGGAGGAAGAGGAGATAACCATACCCAGTGTGGATAACTTTGAATTTCTTAAATGTAAGACACACACACACACACACACACACACACACACACACACACACACACACACACACACACACACACACACAC